TTTTTTCCCTGCCCCCCCCCCCCCCCGTCGGGCAAATCTTTGCGTATAGGATATAGACCTAGGTAATGAGACAAACTTTAGGCCTCTCAATTATTTCGCATGATGAGTTCTTGCGTACCAGTAACCGTGACGTCATATGTACACTGAGCTTGGTTATTCGCAGCGTCTGTTGCTGTACATGTTATTGTTGTCAATCCGATATTAAGCTGGGATGAACCGATTCGGCTGCAGTACAGGTGAGTCACGCCTATGTTATCCGTGGCCTCAGCATTATCTAATGTCATGGCTGCATACGATTGGTTTGGATCCGCCACGTCACTAATTGCATCCGGGCATGTTATAACTGGAGCCTCTTCATCAAGAACTATATCAAATTGCATAAAATTTCAAAAATAATTAACATAATGAACACCTTTATGTCATAACGCCCCAACTAGAATTATTCGTTACGCTTTCATTGGAAAATGATCATTTGGTTAGGCCTAAATTGTCTTTTATAATTTCTAAGGCCCAATAAAAATATATTAGTTTATCACCCTCGCGTGCATGTCGTTTGTATGGTACAGTTAAAGTAGTAGAAATTGTTTGTATTCTCTCAATCATGTTTAACTAGCTTTGAATATCAATGCACCAGACCAGCAAACAACCCAATAGTGATATTTGGCTTTGGCAAAATATATAATTTAAAAGAAAACCTCCCTCCTGCATCACTTTTCCATCCTAGATAAACCAGGGAGTTGTTATAAGTTGTCACTATAACAACTCCCTGGATAAACTAATAATACTATTTTATATAAGCCCTAGTACTTTTTCATTATATTTCTTGGTTTATAATGCTGTTTTAAAACAACATAGACATAATAATAATAATGTTGAAATTACCAATTTAAAAAAAAAAATGTAAGAAGTTAAAATAGAAAGCCAAAAAGTAATTTACCTTGTTTACATATACCACAGTGATTTTCACTACATCCAACGTCTTCCCAATCGTAGTTCCTGCCTCCATCTAAAGCGGTGCATAACTCCCACCATATCTCTTCGAAGTCCTGTGCATCAGTCATGTAATCAACATCACTCCCATCTGTCCAATAATATTCCCTTGTCGAGTATTCTAATATGAGTCCTATAAACACTCTAAAATGAATGGAATCTCTAACTAGCTCTCTGACAAATTCTTCTTCCTCCATTGAATGGATTGATACAAGTGTAGCGCCAACTGAGTTACAGCTATCCACCGCATCGTCTATATCAGAATTCCCGCATTCAAATGTATAGCACTGGCCTTGAAACTCCCCATTGCAGTTTGCTATAACCAAATAGAAAATACACATATGATTCGAAGATAAGTATTTGAATAAGTTTGCACAATCCGCAATAAAATGTTTATCACCTTTTAAGACCGATGAGCTCGGGGCTTAACCATGGACTACACCCGTGTGCCCAGGCGGCCCTCATTCCCCAGCTTTTTAGTGAGTAAATTCAAGCTATTGTCCCTTCCAAAACACAAGGAAACGCTACTGACTATCCTTCAAAATGAATAAATTTATTTAAATATTAAGGTTGTGTACGGTAGCTATTAGGCCTACACGTGAAGATACAGATTCATTATCTTACTTTGTATAAATTAAGTAGAATAATATATTTTATTAAATGTTAACATTATTCTTCAAATAATATTTTTATTGCCAATTAACAGACGTTTATATCGTTTTTTAAAGACCCTTAACATAACTGGCTAAGACCCTTAACATAACAACAGTTCTAGCACTTTGTGATAAGTACATACATCATTATATTTTGTATAATGCTACATTAAATCGACAGATTTTAATGATGCCTATATCAACCATCACACGATTCACGGGGATGGTCGTCGGCTATATACTTACCATTACAAAACTGACAAAGATGATACAGAAAAAGTACCTGCAATGCACAAGAAAATAATAATAATAATAATAATAATAATAATAATAATAATAATAATAATAATAATAATAATAATAATAACAAAACAGTACAATAATAACAACAATAAAAACAGTAACAGCAACAGCAATGAAGACACAAGCATTTCTTTATACACGTTTATTTACGATAACGTAGGACCTATGAGGCTTAATAAACTTCGGGAATACGTGAGATAGGCTTGGTAACATGGGAACGGGCATGAAAAGCGCCACGCCAATATTTTTTAAAAACGCACTGAAGCTTTCAAAAATATTATAAGCGCCGCAGCGCTTATTCGATCATTTACAGTAATAATAATACAGTTTGTTTTTTTCTCTTTCGTGGGAATTTCACCCACATTTATTTCTATCTCTTTTTGTTACATTTTGATTTTTTTTTTCTGTCAATCAATGACATAAAATATAAAAATAAAAACTAAATTGCGCTTAAAAAGGGTCAGTCCGCAAAGGCTGACTGTCATTTTTTAAACTTTTATGTATTTCTAAAAAATACATAATTATATTCTTTTTCTTTTAGGTCCCAAAAAATAATTCATTGAGTATGTTAATATACATCTCATTCAAAATTTTACTTACACATGCACATGTATATACTGTATATATACACGCACATACATACACACCAATACAATATGGGCCTACTTATACATATACATTTTTTTTTTATTTCAACAATTCCTAATTTTTTTTCTTTTATGTACAAAACAGAAAGGTAACTGCTGATGTAATATCATTGATTTCCATCTCAGATCAATAATTAATATAATAATCTTTATAATAATAAAAACAAAAGTCAAGAACTTTCTTCTAGTAATTTTCAAACGTACATCATTCTATATATTTATACACACACACACACACACACATACAAAAACAGACATACTTAAACACACACACCCACACCTTCACACGCATATGAAGTTCACAAATACAGTACATACATGCATACAAATATACGTAGGCCGTGCATACAAATATACGTATCTATATACATCAAATACAATTTTTTTCCCAAATTTCGTTAAAATTACACCAACTGCAAACCAAAGAGCTACCGCATTATGGTGACAATATCACTGGTAATGGTAATGATAGGCCTATTGAAATTTTACCATCCGATCAATAATAGGCCTGATAATAATAATAATAATAATAATAATAATAATAATTAATAATAATAATAATAATAATAATATTTATGATAAAGGGCATATAATTATTAGACAGTCAGAAGAGCTTATTTAATAAGCCCATTGCGTTCATATTCTTTACAATATACTTAAAGAGCTATCCAAGGGTTCGTACCTACTGGCTTGTTCAGCTCAGTTAAAATTTTAATTTTGTAGATAGCGTAGACTGCAATGAAATATATTTGGTTCTTAATTTTACTGTCACAACCCAGGAGGAGTTCTTTAAAAGAACTACTGCTGTTGTCAAGGTTTTTGAAAATATTGTCTATTTTTTCCATAACATATTATTAATTATGCATTCAAAGAACATGTGTTTTTCATCCTCCAATTCACCACATTTGTTACATGTATTAATATCTTTTAGCTTCCAATAGTTGCATATTGGTGGGAACAATTTTGTTTAATAATTTATAATTTAATTGTGCATATTTTCTTTTTTTTTTCATTTTTCACTTTTCGCTTCCAAACATCATTTCAACTTATATATTCATTGTTAAATACCTTATTCCATTTACAATGACTTTGTGGAGGAATAAAACTGTTGTTAACAAAACTTGAACTAGGTTGTTAATTACCATATTCTCATCTGAATTCACATGTATATAATGTTTCGTATTTTGCTTAATTAATTTCACCCATTCATTTGGAATAGCCTCAATTAGTGAAATATATTCACTCATCCAATTTCTTTAAATACATAGTTTTTCAAGAATTTCGTTAGGTTTCATTAGACGATTAAAAATAATTATATCACTAATCTTATTTAAACCTGATGTACTCCTATAGAACAGGGATTTGTTCCTATATGTAATTGCTTTATTACCCTATAAGCTTTGTTTATTACTTTTTCATACGTGTTAACTACATAATCTTTATTGGTATTGTTTAATTCGACGCAGCATTTTATAACATTAAAATAAAAAGGAGGTATAGTATCAAGGCCCGTGTTACTTGTCAGATTAATATTTGACATACTCAGAATCACTCTTTCGTTTCCAAATTTGTTTAAATAGTATAATGGTAATAGTTTCCACCTTACGTGTTTCCTACACAGTATTTTCCTTGCCCATGTAATCTCGAGCGCCTTAACGTGTAAAGAAAAATCTGGCATAGTTATGCCTCCTTCAATCAGTTTACCGATTAACGTTTTTCTTTTTATTTTTCCCGTTTTTCCATTCCATTAAAAATCGTATGCTAGTTTATTTACTTTAAAAATTACGTCATCTGGCACATCAATTTTACAAGCATTGTACGTAAACTTCTTCCTTTTCAAGTATTGAGCAACCTTTCTAAGCTTATCAATTTACTACCCCAATTTAATTCGTCACATTTTTTATTGTTATATCCCACATACATACCCAGAATCTTAATTGGTTCATCTACCCAATTTAAGCTACATGGTTTTTCATTTTTATTTTTATTTTTTCCGATCCATATGGCGTTTGTTTTGCCATTGTTTAGATTCATTCCAGATACTTTACCAAAATTACCAACAATATTTAGACCATTCTCAATACTCTTTTTATTTCCAACAAACAGTACAGTGTCATCTGCAAGTTGTGCAATACGCACTTCCTCATATTTTCCTTGAACTAGGTATTGATATTCCTTTAGAGTGTGCACTATTTCTTATGTCACACGCCATAATTTCCACGACCAGAATAAATAACAACGCCGACAATGTGCGACCCTGTCTAATGCCACTTCTCATTTCAAAACCGTCAGATACCCATCCGTTATTAACAATGGCACACTCTGTCTTATTATAAATTTTATTAATCCATTTATGAAAAGAGTCTCCAAAATAAAATTTTTCTAATACCTTAAATACAAATTCCCCACTCACGGGGTTGAAGGCTTTTCTAAAATCAAGGGATAGAGTACCACATTCTATTTCCTTTTCAGCTGTATAATGAAGAACATCATTAATTAGCCAAACATTTCCCCAGCAAAGCGCCCTTTAATGTATCCTTTTTGGTAATTGTTAATAACACTTTCAATACTTTGTGAAGTCTTGAACATAAAATTTGTGTTAAAATCTTGTAATCCGTGTTTATTAATGAGATAGGACACCAATTTCCTAATAATTGTTTATACCCCTTTTTGTATAATAAATTTATTTCACCCCGTTTCTGTGTATGGCTCATTTCATTTTTAAAATAACACTCGTTAATTGCATTACAAACAATTTGTTTAATTTCTTTCCAAAAATAATTATAAAACTCAACGGTCAGACCGTCACATCCTACAGCTTTAACTTCATTTTTCGTATGGCTTCATCACATTCTTCTATAGTCACGATGCCTTCACCTACACCCTTTTCTTCCTCAGATAAACTGTTTACTTTTATTTTATGTTATTTTTTTCTAAACTGAGAAAGTATTTAGTTATACGTTCGCCTTCTTCTATCCATTGAACGTATGTATGCACCTTTTGTTTCATTCTCATAAATTTTTTCAGTATTTTTGTTTTTTCTTCAATTTCTTCCTCAATGCTTTAATTGGAATTTACTAGCATTGTTTACAAGTGAATCATTTAGCTGTTTTATTTGGTTTTGTAGTTTCACTTTTTCTTTGTTTTTTCTTTATTATTTTTTTTTTTGCCATAAAAAATTTAAACGTCTTTAACTCTGACTTTTATTAATTCCCAATTTAAATCTGGGCCGAGAGTTTTTTCATTGTTTT